ATTTGTGTGTGTGTGTGTGTGTGTGTGTGTGAATGTGTATGTCTCTGCATTTATGTATGTAATGTGTGTGTGTGTGTGTGTGTGTGTGTGTGTGTGTGTGTGTGTGTAGGGGAAGCGTCTCCTCGGCCTGTTGAATGGGGCTTTTGTCAGTGTCCGGCTGTGGCTCTTTTACATTCAGCAGTGCTGCAGATGGAAGTGAAGCGCCATTGAGCTCAGCTCCGCCTCGTCCTGCAGGAGTGAGTCACCACACACACGCACACGCACACACACACACACTTACAATACACACACAGCATATAGACACACATAACACTTACTGATACTCGCACACTTACTCAGCATACACACATACACTCAAACACACAGTCATGCACATACACACGCACATTACATAAATACACACTTAGCAGAGACATATATGTATACACAAACACACACTTAGTGCACACACACACACACACCCTCACTCACAAAAGTAAATACTTTAAAGAATGTTAGAAACCTGTAACCATTGACTTCTATACTATTTGCTTTTTGAATTCAATGGTTACCAACATTCAACATTCTTCAAAGTATCTTCTTTTGTGTTCAACAGAAAGAAAGAAACTCATACAGCTGTGGATGCGCTTGAGGGAGGGTGAATATTGAGGGAATTTACATTATTCTGCGAATCACCCCTTAAATTACAATCAGAGACCACATCTAGGGGTGACTCAGTGGTTAGCACTGGAGCCTCAGGGCAAGAAGGTCACTGGTTCAAGCCTCGGATGGCTCAGTTGGCGTGTCTGTGTGGAGTTTGCATGTTTCCCCCGTGTTGTTTTCTCCGGGTGCTCCGGTTTCCCCCACAGTCCAAACACATGCGCTACAGGGGAACTGATCAACTACACTGACACTAGTGTATGAGTGTGTGTGAGAGAGAGAATGAGAGTGTATGGGTGTTTCCCAGTACTGGGTTGCAGCTGAAAGGGCTGTTTTGTTATTCAAAGAAACTATGCATTGTAATGCTTACTATATTTGGCCCCATCAGTGCAGTGAACTGAAATATTTGATGCAATTTTCAGATTATGGTGAAATAATAAGTGATTGCTATTTTGTTATGCTCCAGAGTTAAAGAGTCAACCCAAAAGTGAAAATTAACCCATCATGTACTCACCCTCAAGGCTTCCTACGACATGTGTATATGACTTGTTTTTCAGTTGATTACTATTGTAGATATATTAGTATTCCCAGAGATGGGTTGCGGCTGGAAGGGCATCCGCTGCGTGCTGGATAAGTTGGCGGTTCATTCCGCTGTGGCGACTTCTGATAAATAAAGTGGCTAAGCTGAAAAGAAAACGAATGAATGAATAACATGACTATATTAACAATTTTTTGTTGTTATATGTTATTACAAAATGATAATGTCACTTTAAAGAATATCTACATTTTAATTTCGTTTATCGGTGATAACATAACGTGTCGTAAAATCTGCTTGAAAATTATTTTATTAAGCTAAATAAACAAAATAAGAGAACATTAAGATCCTGAATCCGTTTATTGTGCTTAATTCTACAATTATATTACGTTATATTAACTTATATTAACCATATTGTCATGGTTACTCATGGTTTCAGTCATTACGCTCACCTGTGCCTTGTTTAGTTCATCAGCGTCTCTCATTTCTACATGTACATTGTTGCTTTTCAGTAATTATTACATCTGTGAAGTCCTAGCTGCTATTTTGTTTAGGACTTGTCTGGACAGCCAAAGTGTAAGATGGGAAATCATTTTTTTACTTTGTTTTGACGTGTTTGTTATTATTTTGCTCTTGTTTGTTTGTTATTTTGCGTCATAATGAGCCAAAAATGTGCCGCAGACCGTAGAAGCACTGAAGCGTGACTTGATTTCAGGAAGTGCGTGAGAAATCAAGTTTGCTTTCAGCTGGTCAGCAGCGAGGTTTGGGGATTTCCATTGGACGTCTTAGAAAATCCCACTTCCTCTTGCTGTGTCTAAAAAGCTGAACCCAGAACAGATGGGAAAAACGATTTAAGTACTTTAACATCAACATTTGGTTTTAGGTTGTTTTTTTACTTAAGGTTTCATTAAATGTAGCAGCTTCTGAGGGAGAATAATTAACTAAAAAGAAGTTAGTTTTGGTAATGTTTAATCAAAATCTGACTGTCTGCTTCCACTCTGTATTGGCAGCCCTTCTAGCCACACCCCTCCGACTGTTAGTTTGCTTTGAGTGAATTATGAGAGGCGGAGTTCAAATAAACCCTGCCCCCAACTCAATATTCAGTTTTAGTAGGAAATACGCCGTCATAGTGAAATAAAACCCCACCTCCTACTTCTGTTTAGAAATACATAAACATACTGAAATAAACCCCCGCCCCTACTTAATATTCAGTTTCAGTTTGAAACATCATTACACTGAAATAAACCCCCGCCCCCTACTTAATATTCAGTTTCAGTTTGAAACATCATTATACTGAAATAAACCCCCGCCCCCTACTTAATATTCAGTTTCAGTTTGAAATATCATCATACTGAAATAAACCCCGCCCCCTAACAAAATATTCAGTTTCAGTTAGAAACATCACCATACTCAAATAAAACCCCGTCCCCTACTCAAATTTCAGTTTGAAACATCTTCATATTGAAATCCCCATCCCCTAGTTTCTGTTTAGAAATAAGTAAACATACTAAAATAAAGCCCCGCCCCCTACTAAATATTCAATTTCAGTTTGGAACATCATTATACTTAAATAAAACCCCACCCCCTACTTAATATTCTGTTTGGAATTACTTAATCATACTAAGATAAAACCCCACACTCTACTAAATATTCAGTTTCAGTTTGAAATATCATCAAACTCAAATAAAACCCCGCCCCCTACTCAATATTCAGTTTCAGTTTAAAAAATGTCATAAAACTCAAATAAAACCCCGCCCCTACTTAATATTCAGTTTCAGTTTGAAACATCATCATACACAAATAAAACCCCGCCCCCTACTCATTATTCAGTTTCAGTCTGAAACATCAACATACTCAAATAAACCCCGCCCCCTACTCATTATTCAGTTTCAGTCTGAAACATTATCATATTCAAATAAATCCCGCCCCCTACTCATTATTCAGTTTCAGTCTGAAACATCAACATACTCAAATAAACCCCGCCCCCTACTCAATATTCAGTTCCAGTTTGAAACATTTTCATATTGAAATAAACCCTGCCTCTACTCGATATTCAGTTTCAGTTTAAAAAATGTAGTGATCTGAAAAAATCCTTGATTGGCTCCTGTACTAGAATGCGGGCTTTATTCGCCATATAGCGATCACTGATTGGCTCCTGTACTAGAAGGCGGGGCTTCATTCACCATATTGACAGTTACACTTTTCCCCATTCGTGTGACATGTCTTGTGTATTAGTCTTTAGCATTACTTTCAACCGTCATATGAACAGCGCATCTCTGGTGTGCGACCCCCTTTAGAGAGGCTAACTGTAGTATTGGTAACTTAGCAACCAACAGTAAACAATGCAAGCAGAACGGGGCCAGTCGCATGGGTGTGTTTTTTGCTACACCAGAGTACATTCAGCTAATACATCTCCATTTAGCATTATTTACATTAACTTTCGCACACGTCTGAATACACCTAACAATGAAAACATTTTCGGAAAATTAAGCGATTTTGTGCTTGAAATGTGGCTTTTCCATCACCCATCTCTCATGCCTGTGTGATTTTCGATCTGCTGTGGATTTTACGAGGATCTTCTGGAGAACGGTGTTGGACTTTGTCAGGGTGAAATAACGCTGTTTGGACCCTTCCGTGTGAAGTGAGCGTACGTGTGAGGTGAGGATGTTTATCTGCTGAAGTGAGCGAACTGATCAGAAGCGCAGAGAAACTTCTGCGACAACACACCGTCACCATGGCAACCGGGGAAATCAGGCTCTTTCTGTTCAGAGGAACGCTTATATAATCCACCGCTGCATGACTAACAGCGCTACTGATTCACATTCAGCTCACAGAGATGATCACACAGCCCAGTTAAAGGGCTAGTTCACCCCAAAATCAAAACTCACTCATCATTCAGGCAACTTGGTTCAAACCGTTATGGGTTTCTTCTGTTGAACAATAAAGATACATGTTAGCATTATCTAATATGTTAGCATATATCGGTAGCATTTTCAAAATGTCATTTGGATAAATGTTAGCAACACTGACTTCCATAGTGCTTGTTTTTCCTATTATGGAGGTTTTCGGCTTTCTTCAAAATATCTTATTTTGTGTTTAACAGATGAAGAAACAAACACACAGAGATTTACAACCACATGGGGGTTAATAAATGACATTTTTGGCGTGAACTATCCCTTTAACTACCTCATCTCAATTTTAAATCTCTTTGAACATCTCACCTGAGATAACTGCATTTTTACTGCGTGTTTACGTTGTCATTGCTGCAGTGTGATCTGAAACTCTCTGTCATGTGTGTGTGTGTGTGTGTGTGTGTGCGCGCGTGTGTGTGTGAAGTTTGGCTCTTTCTCCGGTCTGCCGGTCTGGAATGCGCGCTTGTTGCGGGAGCGGCGGAGGGATCCGTGTGGCGCGCTCAGGCCATCCGCACTTCCGCCCAGTTTTCCGCTGTGATTCGCCTGCGCTGAAAATGGAGTTCGCGTAAAGCAGATCCCCAAAGTTCCCAGCAAGAATTCCCATCGTTTTCGTGGATCTTCCCAGTCCCACCCGAGGCTGTCTTTCTCCCTCGGCCTTCCCAAGTGCGCGCCGGTTCCCCAGGACCCGCTTTCGACACCCAATTCTGCGTTTTTGTTGTGTTTTTGCGCCTGTGAAGGGAGTCGCTTGATCCTCCTGCAAACTCGCGTCCGCCGGGACTCTGGGATATTTCTGCGGGATCGCGGGTCACCATGAGCGGGATGTTTTCCCCGCTGGATGCGCTTCAGCGTGCGGACGGATCTAAATCTGGCTTTCGCTGCTTCCACACACCCTTCCCGATCTGAGCGCGGTTTGGCGGCCGCTCTCCATCATGGCCTTCGCGGAGAAACTGGCGCTTCATTCCCCGATGATGTTCACTGGATCCCCGTGAGAGAAACATGAGCGAAGAACCAAACCCAAACAACGAGTAAGTGTGTAAACGGACACACTGGATGCCCGCTGATTAACATGTTTGTATATGTATATGTGTGTACGTGTGTGTGTGACAGTCTTCACTACATCATAATAACACATTTATTACAGGTTTGGTATGAGCGCTTGTCAAGCTGTCATTACAGTGTTGTGTGTTGTTTTGACACCTGAGGAGTGAAGGTGATGGGCAGGTTTGACTGTGTGTTGATTGTGCTCACTGTAATGTTATTTATTTACCGTGATCCCATTAGCGCAGTGTCGGGCCGCGTCTCAATCCCTAGTGAGCTGCCTATGTAGGCAGGATGTGCGCGATTGACACGCGGCCTCGGAGAGCAGGGCGCCATGTTTTCTCAGTCATCTCGAGCCTCATTCATAAAAATGTCGAAAACACGAGACTCGACGGCGGATTTCGGTGCAACGCCACTGCTGTGCTGCTCGTGGGTCGCGGATTTCACGATTAGCGAGCGATATTTGGGTTATTGTTTGTTTTTCTGTCTGTGAGAGAAAGAGAGCTGCGATCATCACGTGACCCGCCTCCATTCATAAAGAACCCGCGTGTCCATTCACTCACACACACACACACACACACACACACACACACACACACACACACACGTATCCGCATATCAGCAGGGATCATGACAGTGTCAGATTTCATTACTGTGATTTTTAATAGTCCTTTAATTTTAATGATAGTAACAACACTTGGTTAACGTAATATCACTATCATTAACATTTTAGGTTGTATTTATTATTGTATTTTGTCTATAATCAATATTTATTTTATTTTCAAACTGTTTAGTTTAAATAGGGAAAATATTGTCATGTGATCAATTATGATCGTCTAATATATATATATATATATTATATTAGTTATTAAATATTTAAATATATTACACACAGTATATATATATATATATATATATATATATATATATATATATATATATATATATATATATATATATATATATATATATACATACATACATAAAGCGGGGGATGAAGTATTTAACACATTGTATTTTTTTCCCTGGGAATAATATCTCTACAGAAGCTGTTGACATGGAGTTGAAGCAGATTTTTGTAAAAACCCAAACATAAAAACAAAACTAAACAAAAAGAATCAGATAAAAGAGTTGTGTGTAATTAATAACAATGAAATGACAGAATGGGAAAGCACTGAACTACTGAAATGTGTTTAATACTTTATATAAAAGTAATAAATAATATATAATAATAATAATAATAATAAGTAATTCATTTCCCCACTCACAGAATTGATTGACAGACAATTGATTAATATCAACAAGACATGACGTGCGCAAAGAAACCAGGATTAAAAGATGTAAATAAATGCTTAATTTACTCAACTTCATGCAGTTTTGTGAGCTAATCTAACGTGAGGACTGTTTATGCATTACAAATCTGTTATAAATGACAATTAAATAACTCAGTTATATTCTAAAAAGGATGATTCTTGATTTCTGTTCATTTGAAGATACACAAATTAATCTGAATCAAATGAGACATAAATCTTTGCACCCTTATGTAAAATAAAACGACTGTGCAGGTTAAACATCGCTAAATAACATTGAAATTCATCCTAATATATTGTTAAATTAATATATTTTTGTTGTTTTATACAGTTGTATGTTGGATTTTGACACTCCTGTTATTCAGCAGTGTTTAAACTTTACAGTAATTTTACAGTGAATATTAAGACTGGCATCTTTTTGTTTGCAGGTTTAATTAATGTTTTAATGATAATTTGAAGACCATATGCATAGGGTATGCATAGTAGGCTTGTGCCGATAGACGATAGTATCTTGTATGACGATTTTAAAGACGATTTTTAACTCGTTTCGCATCAATGTGAACCTATTACTAGGGCCAGACGGAATCTGCGGATGTTTTTTGCTATTTCTGCAGAGAATTTTGGTAAAAATCTGCGGATTTCTGAGGAATTATTTTGGGAGTATCCATAAATAAGTATCATAACTTAGACCTTAATATATTAAATAAAAAGTAATAAACTACTGAATAAAAACTGAATAAATTCAGATATACACACTTACTCAAGTAAATAAACAGAATTAATGATAGGCTAAAAATCTGCGGAAAATCTGCGGAATTCTGCGCGCGCAGATTCCATGTGGGCCTACCTGTTACATGTTTTACATACATTATTGGTTTGAATTATTTTCCAAGATAAAACGTATTGCAAATGAAGTACATTATTAAATAAGTGAATATGTTTAGATATGTTTAGAAATGGTTAAATAATTGTACAAATAAGTAAACGTAACACTATTGCGCCCCCATGCGATAGTATCATGCAGGGTTCAACGCTAAGGATTTTTTATATGGGTCCAATCGGGCCATTGGTTGAAATTTTTACTTACACGCCTAGCCACCCAGATAGCAAAATACACTCTGGCCAGTTCCGGTTGGATTCTCGCCTGCCAGAGAATAACCCCTCGGCCTGGCTCCGTCTGCTGGACCTACTCGGGCCGGATTCCTATGGACACACTGCCCGATTCCGCCCTGAGTCCATCGGGCCAAATGCGGCGGCCGTTAACCAAAACTGCCGCCGCATCCGAGCCTCAGTCGCGGGGGAGCTGGCGCGATTGAATCTTCATTATATAAAACCTCACCTTTGTTAACGTTAATGCAACCATTTGTGTTGATATGACAGCAAACGCAGGCAACTATGTACACGCAAAGTATAAGCACTGAGTTTACCCTTTGAATAAAACGCAAACATAACCAACAAATTGTAAACATTACAAGCGATGTTGCAGCAGCTGACATCAGTTATGCATTAATACTTAAGTTTTTTTTTTGTACAAATTGATGAATTGCAGTGTTGGGATGTGTAAATATTCTGTTGATATTTAGAAACCTTGCTGTATTTATCTTCTAAACGCACGATTTTCCCACATGGTAAATGGTTATCTATGGTGTGTATATATTTTGGGTTCTGTTGATTGCTAATTAAAAATAAAAACCTTTCTAAAAATGTATGTGTTGTTTATATGTTATTGTTCATATTTTACAAGTGTTATTTCTACCCCCCTATGAAGATAACAAATACCAACAACCCTGTTATAAGAGAATATATTATTTGTGCTCATATTAGTCTAACTCAGGCTAAATTACTGCAGTCCAGCATGTATTGCTTTTATTAAAGTATAACAGCTTACATCACACCGTTTTTAAACCGTTTATTATTGCGTCTTTTTAAATGCAAGTGCTTATATTTACACCAGCGAGCCTTTATTATAGTGCAGATACCGGAGGTTAAGTGAGAAGTTCAGGGGGCGTGGTTGATTTTACATCAAGCGTTTGGTTGGAACTGACTCGGAAGCTCGATTTCGCGGCTCCTCCTCTGGCTACATCAGACAGTCCTTCTGCGCATGCCCAGGCTCCAATTTCATTGTCTTTTGCGACAGTTTGTGCCCGTCAAGCAGGCGTTTTGCCCTCAAAGTGTTCAATGGAAAACGAGGCCGTCGCGTCGTCCATATTTTTTACAGTCATTGGTTCAGACTCAGATAATAAATAAAACAGAAATAATTAATGAGTTCTTCTGTGGCCCTGCACCTATTCGTACGAGTTCAGTCGTAAGAAATTGTACGATTTTAAAAAGGAGGCGTGGCACCTAACCCCACCCCTAAACCCAACCGTCATTGGGGGATACGCAAATTGTACTAAAATGTACGAATTAGATCGTACGAATTTGTACGAATTAGCCACTAAATGAAAAAGTTACGAATTGTCGTGAGATTGTGTTGATTAATCCAGGTACTTGTGCGCAGCCCGGGGTAATTAAAATATATATTTTTGGGTTTATAATTGCTTTATTGTATTTGTATATGCTTGTGTTTTATTATCAATCATGTAGAGCACTGCATAGAAAATTACGTGATCATCCCAATCTATCTACGTGTATGAAATCTTTACAGATGGAGCTATCCGCTGGTTAAGTCGTGACATATTGGTGACGTATGGAATACTGTTCCCGGGTGCAAACTGCTACTCATTTTAGTTGAGAAAATATTAGTTTATGGCCACTTTTTAATCCTATCACACATTAAGCTTTTATTTCTCTTTGATATTTGGGCTAATTGGAAAATAATTAGAATAAAAACCTCAGTATCTTTTGATATGGAGCTCTTTTAGAGAAAAATGATGTCGATATGTGTGGACTCCTGGTCCCGATTTACATAAAACACTTTTTCCTGACTGTTTTAAATGCATATGTAACATTTTTTTTAGTATGTGTTGACTATTAAAGAGTAAAAAAATTTTTTTTTTTTTGCATTTTGGACAGTTTAAAATAGGGTTTGGGACATTTCATATGCTGCAAAACAGTTGCAGGATGACACTGAATGTCTGTAACAAAATATAAAACATTCAAAGTGTTTTAAATAAACACTTAAGAGCTAAAACGTACATATGTGAACACTCAAGCCCTCGGAGGATGAAGTGAATTTTATATAGAGTCATGGAGTACACAACAGTCTCTGGACTTGCTGCATCACAAACACCAAAATTGTAACAATTTATAAAAAATGTATAATTTTCTGGCCGTCTGATATTAGGCATGGACATATATATCTATATATTGCGATTGTGATTTTTGAAAGTATTTGTAAACATTTGTTATTACCATTTGATGAGTTTCCCCATACAGTTTGATAGAGCCTTGGACCCGGAAGCCGCTTCACGTGACGTCACACTTAACAAGCGTATTCAATGAATCTAATATTTATATTGCAATATTTATTGCAGAAAAACAAAATATCGCAATGTCAGCTTTTTTAATATCGTGCAACCCTATCAGAGACTAATTCACATCTATAAAAGCGGACATATCAGGTCCCCTTAAAAAGGAAACGGTCACCCACTGAAGCTAAGCAGGGCTGCGCCTGGTCAATACCTGGATGGGAGACCACATGGGAAAGCTAGATTGCTGTCGGAAGTGCTGTTCGTGAGGCCAGCAGGGGTCTGTGTGATAGAGCTGAAGATCTTTGCCCGAACCCGGAGGGACCTGACGGGTTTAGGTTTAATTTCTATCATTTTAGACAGGGTCGGGCCGGGCTTGGCTTGCGCAGTAAATGAATGCATATGATGCATTTGGATTGGCGCGAGAAAGTAATCAAATTGTTTGTTACAACATTAAAATCCATCCCTGCAAAGGTGAAACAAAGGATGATGGGGAGGTTAAAAAGAGTGAATTTGGACTGCCAAAAAAAATGTGTAAAGCGCTTTGAGTTTCCAGAAAAGAGCTGTATACATGTAAGGAATTATTATTATTATTACTATTACTACTACTACTATTATTAAAAGAACCCTGCAGAACCCCACAACAATTAATTGAGCACATAAAGGGAAACATCTCCCTACTAAAGCCTGCTCGCAGAAAACACTCTCAAGGCTTTGTGAAAGGATGCGATCATCTGCGGTGTCAAACGCTGAACTCAAGTTAGCCAAGATTAAAATAGAGCAAAATCTAGCGTAAAGAGGAAGTAAAATATCTGCAGTAACCACCACTGTGGCATCACTTGTAGATGAAGAGGCGCTGCTTGTCAAATTAGCTAATTTTATTGAAGTTGAGCAATGGTGCAGTGCCAGAAATGGAAAAACATCCCCTGAGGAGTCACACACACACACACACCTCTGTGAATTTTCTCAGAGATTATTACCATATTTAGTCTTGACGACAGTTTGGTTGTGTCTTGATAATTGGCAGAAGTGAACGACTGTTTTGTGGAAGTGAATTTGTGAAGCAAAATTGTCCAGGGGTGCGTTACCTAAATGCATCGTTCCAGCGAACATTCTCAAACTGCGTCACAAATGTGTACGCTTGCAGCTAGTGTTGTCACGATACTGGAATTCAGTAACCATCGCTACTGGAATTCATTTCCCGTAAACATTTGAGCGCTGTTGAGCACATTCTCAAACAGCGCTGATTGGCCTCTGTGTTCATATGCTCAACAGAAATGACTGTGATTGGCCGTGACGGTCATCGGTTAATTAAACTCAACGCTGTTTACTGAGTGTAACCCCAGATACAGGGACACTGGAGCATTTTGATTAGCTGGTTTGTCTATTAGCTGACAGGAGCGATCCACTGATAAATCACGACTTTAAAATGACTAGAGCATTAATCCACATCATCCATGACCAATTTCAGACCTCTATTAGATTTACTGTAGGTCAGAGCCAACAGAGATGCGAGATGTTGTGGAAGTGACATCTGTAGATGCAGACACTGTGCCGAAACAGTGTGTGTGTGTGTGTGACATGAGAGTCTGATTCGTGTTTGTGTGCTCTTGTGTTTGTTTTGACAGTGACACTTACACACAGGTGCGAGCGGTATAGATGTGAGTGTGTGTGATGAGAAGTGATCATCTGATGTGTGTGTGTGGTAATGACACTTAACCAGGGGTGCGAGCAGTGGTGATTTTATATGTGTGTGTGTGTGTGTGTGTGTGTGTGTGTGTGTGTGAGAAGTGATCATCTGACGTGTGTGTGTGTGTGTGTGTACTCTGTTCTGGCAGTGACACTTATAGAGGTGCGAGCGGTGGTGATGTGTGTATGAACTGATTGTGTTTGTGTGTGTGTGTTCTTGTGTTCCGGCAGTGACACTTATGCGCAGGTGCGAGCGGTGGTGATGTGTGTGTGTTTGTGTGTGTGTGTGTGTGTGTGTGTTCTTGTGTTCCGGCAGTGACACTTATGCGCAGGTGCGAGCGGTTGGGATGTGTGTGTTTGTGTGTGTGTGTGTGTGTGTTCTTGTGTTCCGGCAGTGACACTTATGCGCAGGTGCGAGCGGTGGTGATGTGTGTGTGTTTGTGTGTGTGTGTGTGTGTGTGTTCTTGTGTTCCGGGAGTGACACTTATGCGCGGGTGTGAGCGGTGGTGATATGTGTGTGTGTGTGTGTGTTCTTGTGTTCCGGCAGTGGCACTTATGCGCGGGTGCGAGCGGTAATGATATGTGTGTGTGTGTGTTTGTGTGTGTGTGTGTGTGTGTGCTTGTGTTCTTGTGTTCCGGCAGTAACACTTATGCGCAGGTGCGAGCGGTGGTGATATGAGTGTGTGCTTGTGTGTGTGTATGTTTGTGTGTGTTCTTGTGTTCCGGCAGTGACACTTATGCGCAGGTGCGAGCGGTGGTGATGTGTGTGTGTGTGTGTGTGTGTGTGTGTTCTTGTGTTCCGGGAGTGACACTTATGCGCGGGTGTGAGCGGTGGTGATGTGTGTGTGTGTGTGTGTTCTTGTGTTCCGGCAGTGGCACTTATGCGCGGGTGCGAGCGGTAATGATATGTGTGTGTGTGTTTGTGTGTGTGTGTGTGTGTGTGCTTGTGTTCTTGTGTTCCGGCAGTAACACTTATGCGCAGGTGCGAGCGGTGGTGATATGAGTGTGTGTTTGTGTGTGTGTATGTTTGTGTGTGTTCTTGTGTTCCGGCAGTGACACTTATGCGCGGGTGCGAGCAGTGGTGATGTGTGTGTGTGTGTGTGTGTGTGTGTGTGTCAGCAGTATTCCTCTAACGTGTGTGTGTGCTTGTTCTTGTGTTCCGGCAGTGACACTTATGCGCGGGTGCGAGCGGTGGTGATGACGCGGGATGACTCCAGCGGCGGGTGGCTTCCTCTGGGCGCCGGCGGCCTCAGCTGCGTCACCGTACACAAGATCAGCCACACGGAGCCAGACGCCGACGAGTTCCTCATCCACGGAGAACGCCTCAAAGACAAAACGGTAACATTGACGTCACAGGAAGAGCTTGATGCGGCGATGATATCATGAGCAATGCAGGAGTTCAGGAGCCAAGAAAGCACTGTGATGTCACTGAAGTGTCCCTGATGACACATAACACAGCTGGCAGATTACTTTAGTTAATTGTAGTGGTTTAACAGATCACAAATCTCCCGGTTCTGATCACATTAGGGGTTTTGGATCGGATAATTTTTCAGATCAGCCAAAACGAGGAGGAGACAAATGTTATTTTCTTTCCGTTTATTACAGAAACAGCACTGCAGGACACTTTTGGTTTTAACAAACAGAACTGAGAAGATGTCATTTTAGTTGAAAAGGAAAAATGAAGAAATAATCAGCGGAATAAAAATACATTTATTAAATATTTTAATCTCATCTTCAATAAACAATCTTTAAAGTCCAACGCAGAGCGCATTATCCGCTTGTTAAGTGGTGACGTGTTGGTGACGTATGTTATACTGCTCCCTGATCCAAGCCGCCACTCATTTGAGTTGAGAAATCATTCGTTTATGATCACTTTTAATTCATATCACACATTAAAGTAAATTTTATAAAGAATCATAGTCTACACAACAATCTCTGCGCTTGCTGCATCACAAATACCAAAATTTTAACAATTTATAAAAAAACGAATCACTTTCTGGCCATCTGATAATAGGCATGGACATATATATTGCGATCGTGATTTTCGAAAGTATTAAATCGCTTTGTTAACGTTTATTATTACCATTTCAAGAGTCTCCCCATTCAGTTGAATAGAGCGCTTGGAAACAGAAGCCGCTTCGCGTGACGTCACACTTAACAAGCGGATTTGTGCATCTCGCTTAAACATTGCTGAATACACACAGGATTTACAGCAATACGCAAATATCTTTACAAATGAAATATTTAAATATTACAGAAATTATTATTTTCTAGCCTACATAAATATAAAAACCATACTTACATGCCTTCTTCATCTCGGGAGGCTTTTTCAGTTCATTCATAACAATTTGCTTTTGTATGATGTTATTATTATTAGCAGTATTATTTATTATCTGCATATTTATATCTGTTTTATTAAAAATAAGCTTAGATTTGCCCACCTGTCAGGTTTTAGACTATATGGGGCACAGCATGTGTTTTAGGATATAACTCAGGTTTTTGACCACACTCATTTATTCGTTTGCTGGAAATTAGAACTGAATTTAGAAATCGTTTTAATACAAATATTTGCTTTTAACAAACGAAATTAATTATGTAAAGGCTAATGGATGTCTGTGCGTACAAAACGTTTTCCTTTCCACGAGAGCGAAAGTAGATAATGAGGAGGCTCATCTCTCATTCTCGCGCTGCAGATGCTCTGTTTAACTGTTTTTCACTCGACTAAAGCGTTCAGTTTTTACACTTACAAAGTCCGCCATGCAAATAGCAAATGCGCTTATGGCGTGAAAGTCATTTATTTTTTGATAAATTGTTAAAATGTTGGTATTTGTGATGCAGCAAGCCCAGAGATTGTTGTGTACACTATGAAGTTATATAAAATTAACTTTAATGTGTGATATGAATAATAAGTGATCATAAACGAATGATTTCTCAACTCAAATGAGTGGCGGCTTGGACCCGGAAACAGTATTGCATACGTCATCACTTAACAAGCGGATAGGCAGAGGGATCTGTGTCCTTATAATGGCGTCCACAAACTTCGTTGATAAAAAGCTGCACAACCAACAGCAACCAGCCAACGGTGTCTGAGGTTTACACTACAATGACTGAGTACAAACGTGAAAGCGAAAGACTGAAGCAGTGTACCAACGCTGTGACACGTCACCTGATAGATTCAAAACACCGAAGAGTCGTTAGATAGAGACGAGATGAATTAAACATCACGTTTACAGACAGGGCCGGAGTGGGACTCTTTTTCAGCCCTGGAGTTTCAAGCCTCAGACCGGCCCACCTCAATTCAACACTGACTATATTAAAATAAGGTTATTTCCAATTCAGTTTCTAATTACACTATCAAGTCTTTTTTTTTGAGAAAACAGCTCTTTTAGAACTTCAAATGTTCAACAACCCTTACAGTATTATGTCTTAACAATAAAAATGAAAAAAAAAAATTGTTACTCAGACAAGGACCGAACCCAGGTTGGCCGCGTCATATTCTAACCTAGTGGTTCTCAAAGTGGGGGTCGGGACCCCCCCGAGGGGTCGCGGGGCAATGAAGGAGGGGTCGCCTGGTGATTTCCAAAAATCGATTTATTTTTATTAAACCATAAGAATTAACATATTTTATCCATAACTATACTGAAAATAAAAATAGTCGTTTATAGTTACTATATAGTTACTATAGTAGCTTATAGTTACTAGTTCTATTGGATTGCGACCCCTGGGGTAATTACATTATATTAAAGGCAGATGCATTTTGATTTTATAGCATCAGGTTATACTTTCTGGCACATTTAAAGCACTGACACAAATTTAATTGGTGTGTCTGCGTCATTGCATGCAAGGTTTCTGTATTTCTAACCACCTCAGAGGATATTGGGGGTCGCGAGTCACTGGCATTGTTATTTTGGGGGTCGCGGGCTGAAAAGTTTGGGAACCCCTGTTCTAACGTACTAACCACTGTACCACAACAGCTGTGCATTTAATGGTGACTTATCTAGTTATATCATCATTAACCTGCATCCTGGTCACGAGGCTACGAGAAAATAGATAAAAAGAGCAGAGCTGCGGTAAAATAATGAATAAGAAGGCTGTGGTCAAGTAAATAAATAAATTATTTTTAAAAAGTGTGACTGCTGAGAGCAACCGATTCTGGAACTAGGAACACCGGCCCTCGCGGCCAAAAAACGGACCGGCCCACCGGGAATTCTCCCGGTCCTCCCGATTAGCCAATCCGGGCCTGTTTACAGACTACAGTGAGACGCCATCCTGCGGTGAATCCTTGATAAACTGTCCGACGTGCACTGCTCTCTGGGGTTTTGTGCTCAAAGCACCCGCTGACTGCCTGGAGCTCAGACGTGTACAACGAGAGCATGGCGGAGGATTGCGATGCCGGCTCAGCATCGTGATGTCTATCAGCCATCTGCAAAGCACTATGGCATCATCCATCGACCCAACCCTACTCCAGAACTGTCTTGAGCATCTGTCTGCGCGCCCGTCTCACGCCTACAAAAGCATCGCAACTCATCTATCATTAATTATTTACTCATTTATTGCTCATTAATTATTCTCAACTCCACTTCTCTATTGAGTATTTGTGCAAGTTTATCAAGGAGTGATCATTTTATTCTCTTCAGCTTCTCACTAGATGAAAGCGCCGCTTCATTCGCTAATGTTTTATGCCAGACTCCAGGCTTGCTGATGACTCTAGTTAGCATCTTTGCGTGTAAACGGTGAGACTGTTTCTGGTCCTCAGGTGCTCCTGGACTGCAGCATACGGAGGGATCTGGTCTACAATAAAGTCAATCCCATCTTCCACCACTGGAGGATCGGCAGCATGAAGTTCGGCCTGACCTTCCAGAGCCCGGCGGACGCCAGAGCCTTCGACCGCGGCATCCGGAGGGCCATGGAGGACGTCACACAGGGTGAGCCACAGATCACACACTCTCACGGGCACACTACTGAGAGAACAGCCCTGTGGAGAGGCTCAGTAGTATCAGGTCTCAGACACATCACCCAATGGAGATAGTGATGTCACTGAGGGGTGGGGTTAGGGGCGGGGTTTAAAAGCAGTGCCTGCAGTCTGAGCTTGCCTGTGCTCCTGTCTGCAGCCAGAGCCTCTCAGAGTGGGTTCTGGGTAACGTGGGCCTCGGGGCTGCACTGTGGGCTGCAGTGGGCTGCCACCACTACAGCTCTGACGTCACACACACACACACACACACACACACGTCTCACACTCATTCACTGTGTGGAAGATTCCAGAGTGTTGCGTAACGCTGATCTTCAGTATTCATGCAGAGCAAAGCCGCTCTGAAGAGCCCGTCTCTGTGGAAACAGAACACACACTCACACACACTTTCTCTCACACACAGAGACAGACACATGCTTTCTCTCTCTCTCTCTCACACACACACAAACACACACATGCATATACAGATACACACACACACATTCTCTCACATATATAGACACGCTTTCTCTCACACACACACACACAAACTCTCCAAAAACACAACACACTCTGGCACACACACACATTTAAAAAGCTCACTCACAATTACACACGCACGAACGCACACACACACACACACACACACACACACACAGTCTGAAACGTACACTCAGACATGCACACACACTAACACACACACATGCACACACTCCTAAATCACACACAAACACTCAAAAATCACAACGCACTCTTACACACACAAACACACACACACACACTTATAAACACACTCACTCACACACTCAAACATGCACACACTCATAAAACACACACACACAGTCTGAAACATACACTCAGACATGCACACACACTTACACACACACATGCACACACTCCTAAATAACACACAAACACTCAAAAATCACAACGCGCTCTTACACACACACACACACACACACACACACTTTTAGACAGCTCACTCACATACACACACACACAAATGCACACACACTCAGTCATAAACACACTCACTCACACACTCAAACATGCACACACTCATAAAACACACACAAACACTCAAAAAACACAAAACATGCACACACACACACATTTAGACAGCTCACTCACACTTAGACACACACACACACACACACACTGAAACATACACACAGATACACACACGCACTCAAAACACACTCATACAATAACTCACACATATTCACAGATCACACACACACACGCACACCCCTAAAGCACACACACACCCTCAAAAAACACAACACACTCTTGCACACACACATTTAAACAGCTCACTCACACTTACACACACACACACACACACACACACACTTGTTCATTCTGGCTGATTTATGCGCTCTTTCCCTCATGGAGACCAAAAATTAACACACATGGTCAAAATGTCCTGGTATTGCTATACTTGTGGGGACACACAGAATGCTAAGTCGGCACAGAGTATAACACACACACACACACACACACACATGCCCTGGACTTGTCTGAATTAGACTGAGGGCTGTGTTTAAGGTGTGTAAGCGCTCGCTCAGACTGATGCACTTCCGCTCAGTGACCCTGCCCGCTAATCAACAAAGCACCATTGGCCCTTTCTTTGAGGTGGGAGGAGTTAGTTGATATGCCCCACCCACTCACACAAGGTGAAAGCACACACCTGTTTACATCATCACTGACTGAATGAGGATGTTGTGTTCATCCGCAGGTGGAGCGACTTACAGCGACACACACACACCTGAGGAGGAGACGCCAGCACAGGTGAGACACACACCTACACACACACAACACAGCACAGAGCCACATCTGTTAGTAAACAAACTAATTATATATATATATATATGGTGGCACGGAGGCTCAGTGGTTAGCACTGTGGCCTCACAGCAAAAAGGTCGCTGGTTCGAGTCCCAGCTGGGTCAGTTGACGTTTCTGTGTGGAGTTTGCATGTTCTCCCTGTGTTGGCGTGGGTTTCATATGTGTGTGTGTGTGTGTGTGTGTGTGTGTGTGAACTCTTAATGATCAGAGCAGCAGCTCATTGATGGAGCTCAGACTGAAGCAGAAACACACACACACACACACACACACACGCTGCGTCTGATTCATTCATGATGAGGAGTTCCTGTGTGCCTGTGCTGCAGTCTACATTACCCATCATCCCCTGCACAGCCAATCACATGCCTGTTGCCAGGCAGCAAGACAGCATGTGTCCATGGAGACTGAGAGAGTTCACATGCGAGTCTGTCACTGTGTGTGTGTGTTTGTGTGTGTGTGTGTGTATATGTGTGTGGATTTGTCATTGTGTGTGTCTGTGCCACTGTGTATGTTGTGTGTGTCTATCTACATGTGTGTGTGTGTGTGTGTGTGTGTGCGCGCTTCTATGTGTGTGTGTGTGTGTATGCGTGTGTGTGTGTGTGTACAGATGAGAGACTGTAGTCACAGGAAGTGTCTCCTAGCAACCTCTGGACATTCATTACTGGATATAAACAGAACTGAACACACACACACACACACACACACACACATCAGATTGAGCATCAGTGTGTTCCTCTTTCTGTTTCTGGAGTCTGGAGTGTGTGTTTCTGCGGTGAGTTTGGTCAGCAGACACACACACTCCTGCTGCGCTTCTGTCACATGATGTTGCTCAGGCCTCAGTGAGTGTGTGTCGGTCTGTGTTTGTGTGTGTGTGCTAGTCTGTGGGTGTGTGTGTGTGCTGGTCAGTGGGTGTGTGTGTTGTCAGTGGGTGTGTATCGGTGAGTGTGTGTTGGTCAGTGGGAGTGTGTGCCATTCTGTGTAAGTGTGTGTGTGTGTGTGTGTGGGTGTTGGTCAGTGAGTGCGTGTTGTTCAGTTGGTGTGTGTCGGTTAGTGGGTGTGTATCGGCAAATGTGTGTTGGTCATTGTGTGTTGGTCAGTGGGTGGGTGTGTGTGTGTCTGTCAGTGGGTAGGTTTCAGTCAGTATGTGTGTGTGTGTGTGTGTGTGTGCTAGTCAGTGGGTGTGTGTCGTCAATGGGTGTGTATCGGCGAGTGTGTGTTGGTCAGTGTGTGTTGGTCAGTGGGTGTGTGTGTCTGTCAGTAAGTGTGTCTGTCAGTGGGTAGATTTCGGTCAGTGTGTGTGTTTGTGTGTGTGTGCTAGACAGTGTGTGTGTATCGGTGAGTGTGTGTGTCTGTCAGTGTGTGTCTGTCAGTGTGTGTGTGTGTGTGTGTGTGTGATCTTAGCAGCCTGATGAGCTTCACTAATAGTGTCGTGTGTGTGTTTGTCAGGAGGCGGTGTGTGTGGATACGCCGGTGCGGGACGTCTTCTGTCCTGAACCCTTCCGCTGCTCATACACACGAGCTCAACCCTTCGACCCGGCGCTCACTGCAAACCAGCGCTTTCTCCCTCCACAGGTACAACACACACACACACACACACACACTTCACGGTGATCACAGATCTTCTGATCCCCAACCGGTCTCAGCAGGGTGTTTTCACACCTCTAGTTTGAATAAAGTCAGGAAAGTGGGTGTGTCCAGGTCTGTTTAGGTGGGAGTGTCAAAACTTTGCAGGAGCAGGCGGGAGCGGGACTATAAAAACAGTAAACAGTGTGTGTGATATGTAGGCCCTGTTTACACTAATGCGTTTTAGTTTGTAAACGCATAAGTTTTGCCACGGTTACGCCATCCGTCCACACTACGCCGGAGTTTTCGAGCGCCGAAAGCGGAGCGTTTTGGAAACGATGAAGAGGCTGTTTTCATTCTAAAGCACTGCTGCTCCGTCTCAGTGTGGATGAGGGAAAACGGAGACATCTGAAAACGGCAACCCAGGCTCATTCTGAAAACGTAGTCCAGCGGAAATTTCTGGAGACCGCGAAATACGTCCTGTGAGGTACGTATTTGTGCAGTTTTTGTTTTCGCGAATCCGCAAGAGGCCGCTGTGTGTGCTTTTTCGTATCTCGAACTTCTCTCGCGAGTGCCGTTCGCGCCCGCGCTGTTCTCGTGTCAACCCACCAGAGGCCGCTGTCTAACTGACCGAATGATTGACTGTGCGACCGGCCAATCGGCTGACCCACCCTTCTCCTTCCCTGAACCCAACTAGTTTTACAGATTGACCCGCCAGCCGCTCACTTCCCTAAACCCGAGCAACAATTTAGAAAAGCTGTCTAGAAAAAGAAAAACCCTCGTCTGTTTTTCACCGCGTTCTCACCCTGTTATGAACACGTTCGCTTTATTTTTTGGATTCTGTTTTTGTCTTACCTGGTTTCTGGAACCGCTCTTCCCCGGACTCGAACCTGGACACCTTTGTCAACTCCTCCTCTCTGCATCTGAAGTCCGCCGACGCACACGATGAGCTGACCGGACAAACTGACTGCAGCGGGAAAGCCCTCCACACGGAGGTAATGCGGTCAGCCGGCAAGCGCAAAAGGGAACGGCGTCACAGCCATACGTACCTCCCGGGACGTATTTTGCGGCCCCCAGAAACGTCGGCTGGACTACGTTTTCAGAATGAGCCTGGGTTGGAAAACGGAGGCGGGGCTGCTGAGATTCGCTACCTGATTGGGGCTTTTGTGTCTTTGCGTATCCTTCCCTTATTCGTCAAGCGCCTATCACATGACTATAACACATGGCTTTAACGCTAGCTGAAGACAGCAGACCAGCCCTCACTGTAAACAACAACATGGACACAGAAATGGGAGCGTTGTTTGCACTATTGTCTGTTTTAGGCAGCATTGTGCAGTTATTCATTACGTTTAGTAACAACTCGACCTCGTCGTCTGTCCACAAAAACACCTCTCTTGCTTTCTTTGCCATCGCGTTCATTGTTCAACCGGCGTTTGTTGACTAACAATAACCAAATGCCGAGCGAGACTCATGCTTCCTGTTTATACTAGAACGCGCATGCCCAGAGTGCACGAATGGTCACGTGATATACGTTTTTGGTGGCGTAGTGTGGACGGAGATTTGTTCAGAAACGCTAGTGAGGACGCGGATCATTTTTGATCTAAAATGCCGTTTTAAAACTAAAACGCACAAGTGTTAACGGGGCTGTTGTGTGAGAGCGTTTCCCAGCACTGGGTTGCAGCTGGAAGGGTATATGCTGGAATAGTTGGCGGTTCATTTGGTTCATATTAAATGAATAAACAGTGCGTTTACATGTGGACAGAGTTTTTTTTAAACAAAGGCAGTGAAACATGTTTATAAAGATTGCCGTGTTCATGTGCACATGGCCTAAGTGTCATTGTATTCACAGTGATGCGCACGACAATCGCATGCAGTTTAACGCTCAGCCCTACGTGCTAATGTTCTGTGTCCTTGCTGACGGGTTTCCTTCTCCTTCCACAGGTTTCCTTCAACAGCAGACGTCACGTGAGCTTTCAGATGGACGACGAGGAGATCGTCCGCATAAACCCACGCAAGGACGTGCTGATCCGCGGCTACGAGGACTACCGGCACCCGGTGCTCTGGAAGCAGGACCCTCAGCTCCCGGAGCCCGACCCCACCGCCACCTTCGCCAAACTGGACGGTAAGAAGTGCGAGTACCTGTTCTCCGAGGAGCTGCAGAAAGACTCGGTCAAGACGCAGCAGCCGTCGGGGAAGGCGTCCCGCAGGCGGAGGGAGGACGGCGAGCGCTCGCGGTGCATTTACTGCCGAGAGATGTTCAATCATGAGGACAACCAGCGCGGGCAGTGCCAGGACGCGCCTGACCCCATCAAACAGTGCATCTATAAGGTGAGCTGCATGCTGTGTGCTGAGAGTATGCTCTACCACTGCATGTCCGACTCGGAGGGCGACTTCTCGGATCCGTGCTCCTGCGACGCCAGCGAGGAGCAGTTCTGCGTGCGCTGGCTAGCGCTGTTGGGTCTGTCTCTGCTGGCGCCCTGCCTGTGCTGCTACCCACCGCTGCGCTTGTGCCACCGCTGCGGGGAGGCCTGCCGCTGCTGCGGCGGCAAACACAAGGCTGCAGGATGAACCGAGCCTCCAACGGGCTCTGATTTCAGTTTCCGGAGACGGCAAAGCGCTGTTCACTGCTTGTGGAAGAGCGCCGTCTGTACGCAGAGCGCCGTCACGAGCTCCTGACGTGCGGAGGAAAGGCCGAAGTACGCACACAACAAACACCTGAAGAAATAATCTTGTGTCCTGTACAGAGATTCTAACACTTAAGGGATTCTGCCTCTTTATTTTTCGTCAGTTATTAACCGTGGCCTTTTTCGTTTGTTCGTTTCTTTGTTTGACGCTACCATTACTAGCTAGACGGATGGACGGATGCACTAATGTTGCAGAGCATTAACGGTACGCTCACTCGGAGACTAAACCTTTCATTGATTACAGCAGACCAATCGCTGGGCTTCTGTTCCTCAATCAGGCACTTACGTGTAATCCTGAAGCGAAAGCACTTGGTTTCTGCAGGAGCTCCTCCTCCGGTTGAGACGGTTTTTAACGAAGCAGAAGATTTAACATTGGAGATAGCGTCCCGTGATCTTACAGTGGAATATTATAAGTGTTTTGACTTTACATGCATGTTCTGTTGATGCAAATCTTTTTAAATCGACTAATAATCGGATGTTTTTAAGACTTTTTTGCCGTATTGTGCACAGTTGTAAAAAAAAAAACGTATTTGAAACGTGTTTTTGGGAAAGAAAGACAAAAATCCTGTCATGGTTTACTTTCTATGCAAGTATTTCCATGATTCCTCTGACCTCTGCTGGCCGTCTTGTGAAGGTGCGCTCACGTTGGCGAAAAAAACAAAACGTCACTTTTAAACCAATCGGATTTCTCTTAGTCATGTGACTATAATTGGCAGAATCTCCCCATTCACACACATTCCTATCGGACTGGATTTGAGCGCGCCTTCACACACGGCCTCAACACTCGCTGTACATACACTATTGCGCAGTCGTGAGCGCTGCCGCCGGTACGTACGTACGTGTTCGATTTAACGACAAAATTATGTACATAGGTCACCTGTTAATATTGTTTCACATTGAAAAGTAGTGGAGATGGTGAAAAAAAAACGTCCGAGGTTTTAATCGAGATTCTCTCTAGTTTTGTATCGTCGAAAGATGGAAACGCGGAACAAACGCTTTGAAGCTCGTCTTATGAAGCTGCTAGAAACAATCACTAACTGCATCGCACGAATTGAATTAATTCCGCTACGGAAGACTGTTAAACACGACCTAGAGTATCATTTAACCTCCTTGTGTTGCTCTTTTCTTCTAAATGTCGATTTGTACGGTTTGCAGGCCGTCGGGTCATGTGACCGCCAGTTTAATCACGTGCTGCTATTGTTTTATTATTATTATTATTATTATTGGTGTTTGCTCAGTTATCGCTCCACAATGCGTAACACAACGGCGGCTCTTTTTCTGGGTTCTGAAATGCCAACGTGAGCACGGTGTTATTGACTATATCGCAGCGTATCGGTGGTTTTCGTGCGCTTTCAGTGCCATTGGCTTCACTCTCGACGACCCTGAAAAAGTGCCTCAGATCCGTCACACACCGCCAAACGCTCTGCTTCTATCGGTTTATATCTATGTATAGGTATTTCTATCCTGGTTTGAAAATACTAAATTTATGATGTAATATTTATAGTTGCGTAACTCATGTCATAGTTGTATTTTCTGTATACAGATGTAGCTTGTTACTTTCATAAATATATTATGTAAATATATGCATACACATGTTTGTAACTGTTTTTATGTTACACCGTACACTTATTACATCAGTTAACATTACCATAAAAATAAAAGGAGAATTTAACGTCTCTGTGTGTGTTTCTTTACTTGCGTTAAAATTTAGTATCATTTTAACATGGAATTAATGAAGTGACGATGTTTACTGTTCATTTACACTGCAGCAAAGAGTGTCGAACCACTCGCTACGAATGTTATTACTTGATTGAATGGGCGTTATCTGTGGTTATCAGTTGATAGATATGGGCCAGTTCGGGCCTTCTGCACCTACTGGTAGGCTCAGAAGGCTGTTATCATCCATCAATGTGGTTAATCACCTACACTATTATGGAATCTGTTTTTACATTACAGTGACAGTTGGGTTTAGAGTTGGGGTAGACGTTCATAAAATACAATTAAATTGAAATTAATTAATAAGGATACGACCTGGTCCAGGATTATGGAGACCTCTCGAAGTCCTCGATGGTTGGCGTCGTCTCTTCACAGGTGTCTGATCACATCAGTGGCGCAGCACACTATCTAGAGTCCTCAAGATGAGTATCCCCAAGTGGAAATAGAGAACAATGTAAACAATTAGTGTAGCTGCTGTTCATAAAGTATTTAAACACGATATTAAATATCAGTGTGTTATAAATAAAAATAGCAGATCTATAAACAAACATAGACACAAACATGTAAAGCATACAAGTGTTTCTAACAAAATGTCTGGTGCGTGAAGACCTACAAGTGGTTGTCAAAGTAAATGGTATTGAATTACAAGGACACTGCATGTAATACCAACATGTCAAAACACAGGGGTGACCGCAGGGCCTTAAAAAGTCTTAAATTCACTGAAATATTGTCTTGTAGGTCTTAAATAATTTTAAACAGGTCCTAATTGTCCTTTGTACATATAACGCTACCAAATCAGGCCAACACACGTCCAATCACCAACCATTTATTGCAATAAAACAACATATAACCCTATTTACCATCGTGCTTTAGTGTCCAGCTTAAGCCAGGCTGCTCAAGCTTGTTTTAGCTGGTCATTGTCCAGCCTGACCAGCTAATACCAGGCTGGAAATGTTTGGAAACCAGCCTGAGAATGGCCAAAACCCCTTTAAAACCAGGCTAGTCGAAAAAATAAAGCCAACCAGTCAACCCAATTGGTAGTTTGAGATTTTAGCAATGCTGTTAAGCTGTTTTTTCAGCAGGGTAAAGCCTTTAAGAATATATATGTGTATAAAATGTGTACGTATGCTACTAGTTTGCTTGTTTTGACACTGAAAGGAATCCTTGGCGATTAGCCATGTATACAAGCACCAAACCCCGACTCTTCCCATCATGCCATTCCACATTCAAAAAACACGTAGCCTTTAGGTATAGCTTCATGCTAACTCATCCTTGAAGAAAATTAATTTTACATGTGTTAACCATATTATGTGGCACATTGATCAACATATGAACAGTTTTTACTACTGTTAAATTGTGGTTGGTGTATTTTTGAGGTAGTAGTTCATTTAAGTTAGAGATTTTAGCAATGTGTTAGCATGTTAGTCAAAGTGTAATCCATGCAGTAATGTTAAAATAACATGCTAATTCTTACAATGCAAACAACATGCTAGCCATAGACCTGTGCCGTTAAATGTTGATCAATGCTGCAAAATAATAACTTTCTTTCCACTTCACCTTAATTTACACATAGGCTACAGGCATCAAGCTATTACACACTGAGGTATAAGACCTTCCAAAGCTAAATAAGCTGCTAAATAACCGTGTTTTAGTATTGAAACAGGATTATTTTTGCTTGTTTTAGGAAAAAATGTACTATGAATTCTTATTTCTGACAACAAGCATATTTTTTACTCGAATATTCTCATTTCCATACTAAAAAAAAAACGCTTAAACCAGCCTTGTTGGCTGGTTTTATCTGGTCGACCATGCTGGTTTTAGAGGGGTATTGGCCATTTCCAGGCTGGTTTCCAGCCATTTCTAGCTTGGTTTCCAGCTAAAACCGGGCTGGAAATAGCTGGAAACCAGCCTGAAAATGGCCAAAACCCCTCTAAAACCATCATGGTCGACCAGATAAAACCAGCCAACCAGCCTAGGCTGTTTTAAGCTGGATTTTTCAGCAGGGTTGTCTTGAAAATGCCCAAGAATGTGGACTAGAAACGAGACAAAACTCCTAAGTAAAAAGGTTCGTCAAGAAACTTCAACGTCTGATGCGTTGAAATCAAGAAGCTGCAGGTTTCAAAGACTACTGTAATTTTATGGTCATTTTAGGTGTTTTTGTCCACATTTTTTGTAGATTTAAAATCTTTAAGACGTTTATCAGATGAATTTTGTGAAGATGAATTAAACGGCCTCCATATCTTCGTAATAAAGATAACGGTAAAGTCTAGAAGGGATACAGCTGCGGCCGGAAGTTAACACGAATTATCGATATTATTACAATAGTTTAACTACAGTACAATGATAATTGCCGTTTTTATAATACTATATAAGGGGTATGTGCGGGGTTTGGGTGGGGGTAGACGTTCATAAAATACAATAAATAGGTGATTTAGTAATTCTCGTAGCTGTATCCATTCCAGCAACAACGACAGTGGCAGCGGAACTCTTCCGTTGTTGTGTTTCCTGGCGGTCTGCTTTGAGTGGAGCACCGCTAGAGGGGACGCGCGTGTGAATGAATTCCTCTCAGAGCTCTAAATGTTCATTAAAGTGATCGATGCATATTAATAATCATATGTGGACGCGCTGAAGATGGAGAGCGATATTCTGGACATCCTGGAGCAGCTTGGGTAAGAGCAGACCGAGCTGAATACATATTATTCAAGATGATGGTGATGATGATGAAGATGTGTTTATGTTAGAAACCCCTCGAGTGAGCAGTCAATGCGAAAGTGAACTGTATTCTCATAATGTTTATAATGTGTTTTCATAGTCGTGTTTCACAGTGCTCATAGAATAAATTAATTAGAAGCGCAAAGATGTGGAATATATCGTTAATGGAATAGATTTAAAGGCAGGAAACTGATTAAAATCAAATTAAATATCACTAAAATAATTTAATGTTAGTAAATATTATTAAAGTAATATTCCATTAATCTGTTTTCGTGCTTTAATTATTGATGATGATGATGATGATGCTCAGGTATGACGGGCCGCTGGCGGAGGAGGCGTGTCTGCTGGCCGAGTGTGGGCGGGGCTTCAGCTCATCTGAATATGTTAATTTGCTGACGTGGCTCACAAAACAACTGACACAATTCACTGAGACACACACACAGGACGAGATCATCACAGGTGAGACACACACACACACACACACAGAGGGAATCAATTTCACAGGTGACAAACTTCACTGAGACACACACACACACGGGTTTGTTTTCCTGTCTCAGTGTGTACATTACTTAGACTTCCATTGTTTTTCTGTCAGGTTAATGATAGTGGCCTACCCCTAGCCCTAACCTTAACCCTAAATCCTGACAGAAACCTCTGCACTTTATTACAAACTAATTAAAGCATCTTCTGGCTGATGTCTATGCAATTATACCTAACGAGGAGCAGTGAAATGACAACATTAGTGTGTGTGTGTGTGTGTGTGTCAGCTGATCCTCTGGACGTGAGCCGGCTGCTGAAGGACTGCTGCTGTCCGTATAAAGGACTGGCCTCTCGATTAGCCAATGGGGACGTGAAGGACACCAGAGACCATCTCAAGATCATCTGTGAGTGAGAGTGTGTGTGTGAGAGAGAGTGTGTGTGTGTGTGTGTGTGTGTGTGTGTGCATGCATGTGTTTGTTTATGTATGTATGTATGTATGTATGTATGTATGTATGTTTGTATGTGTGTGTGTGTGCGTACACGTGGGTGTGTGTCTGCATGTGCATGTTTGTGTGTACGCGTGAAGGCATATGTGTATGTTTGTGTTTCCATGTGTATGTGTGTGCATACGTGCGTGTCTGCATGTGTGTGTGCGCGCGCATATGTGCTTGTGTGTGCATGCATGTGTGTATGTTTATATATATATATATATATATATATATATTTATATGTGTGTGTGGGTGTGTGTAAGTCAGCATGTGTGCATATGTGTGTGCGCGTGAGAGCATGTGTGTGTGTGTGAATGAAGTGTGTGCATGCTTGCATTTGTGTGTGTGTGTGTATGTTTTAGTGTGCGTGCATGTGTTTGTGTGTGTGTGTGTATTGACGGCTGGTGCGTTGTGTCAGTGTTTGTGTCGTCAGAGCTTCAGTCCGCTCAGCTGCTGCTCAGTAAAACACTCCGAGATGCAGAGGAGCGGGAGATGCGCTCGTGTTCGCCTCTGCAGGATCTCTCCGTCATCTGTCACACACTCACACTGCCGGATCCGGCCGGACGAGACCCCACAGACACCTTCACGGACATCCAGACGCAGGTCAGTCATCACACACACACCCACACACACAAACTTTCGAGGACGTCTAGACGCAGGTCAGCCATTACTCAAACACACACATGCATGTTTGTTTTTGTGAGTTGTGGGGACATTCCATAGGTTTTCTACTGTACAGACTGTATTGTGCATCTCCAACACAGGAGATATCTTTTAATATCTTTTACAGTAGTTATTGTTTTAAAGCAGATCTACAAAAGGTGCACATTACTGCATTACAATCAAATTAAGTTAGTTACACTCAAATATATGTTATTATTCATCTTTCTTGGCTCGAGACGTCCGCTCTCATTTACTTCCATTCATTTTGAGATGTTAAATACGGCCGGTTCTGCTGCATGATGCTGCTAACGGATCTGTTCTTATGATATTACTCTAGTTTGTCTGTGTAGTCGTGAACACACGTGTTTGTAGAGCGAGCAGTTTATTATTCCTGGTCATTTCTCTCATAGGCAGCTGAATCGGAAGTTCTGAACCAATCGCAAAATCGAGCGCACACTGAAGAATAAGGCCACTAGATCAGCTCGATGATGTGTGTGAATATGAACACCCATAACCTGACTGTCCATGGTGTTTTCTGTGGTGGTTCAGGTCAATGTTCTGCTGGAGAAGCTTCCAGAAACACACATCGGAGCTCCAGCGCTGCAGAGGAGCATCAGTGCAGAGCAATGGGTGAGAGTGCGTCTGAGCTCCATCAGCTGTGTGTGTGTGTGTGTAAAGTGTGTGTGTAAAGTGTGTGTGTGTGTGTTCAGGAGGAGCTGGAGAAGATCAACAGCACTCTGTCGGCGGAGTACGAGTGCCGGCGGCGGATGCTCATCAAACGCCTCGACGTCACTGTGCAGTCCTTCAGCTGGTCGGACAGAGCCAAGGTGACCACACACACACACACACACACACACACACACACACACACACACACACACTATATTTAAATCTTATGCTGTTTGTAACATTCCTGTATTGTGTTATTGACTATTGCAGTGTGAGTTTTGGCTATTTTTGACCGCTCATCAGAACGCTCTGATTTAATGTAGAAGTTACCACCCACTGCTCTGATTGGCTCACTGTTTGTCATATCAACATTGCTAAACAGACTGTGCACCAGCAGCAGGCATCAGTCTTCTGTGGAGGCGTCCGGCGGGAGAACTTTAGGCTTAGTTGAGCTTATGCTCACTGGCCGCTTTATTAGGTACACCTGTCCAACTGCTGGTTAACGCAAATGTCTAATCAGCCAATCACATGGCAGCAGCTCACTGCATTTAGGCATGTAGACATGATCTGCTGCGGTTCGAGCATCAGAATGGGGAGGAAAGGGGATTTAAGAGACTTTGAACATGGCATGGTTGTTGCTGCCAGACGGGCTGCTCTGAGTATTTCAGAAACTGCTGATCTACTGGGGTTTTCACGCACAACCATCTCTAGGGTTTACAGAGAATGCTCCGACAAAAAGGAAATATCCAGTGAGCGGCAGTTCTGTGGGCGCAAATGCCTTGTTGATGAGGTCAGAGGTCAGAGGAGAATGGCCAGACTGGTTCCAGCTAATAGAAAGGCAACAGTAACTCAAATAAGCACTCGCTACAACCGAGCTCTGCAGAAGAGCATCTCTGAACACACAACACGGCCAACCTTGAGGCGGATGGGCTACAGCAGCAGAAGAGCACACCGGGTGCCGCTCCTGTCAGCTAAGAACATGAAACTGAGGCTACAATTCACACAGACTCACCAAAACTGGACAATAGAAGATTGGAGAAACGTTGCTGCTCTGATGAGTCTCCATTTCTGCTGACACATTCGGATGCTCGGGGCAGAATTTGGCCTCAACAACATGAAAGCATGGATCATCCTGCCTTGTATCAGCGGTTCAGGCTGGTGGTGGTGGTGTAATGGTGTGGGGGAGATTTTCTTTGGGTCCATTAGTACCAATTGAGCATCAACGCCACAGCCTACCTGAGTATTGCTGCTGACCATGTCCATCCCTTTATGAGCACAGTGTCTCCATCTTCTGGTAGTTAAGAGACTAAGCTGAAGGGAAGTGAGCGAGTTGTGGAGGACTCGCACCTCATCAGCAGCTGTGCATTGATTTGTTTGTTGTTTTCAGGTGAAGATTGATCAGATGGCGCGGGCGTATCAGCCCAAGAGACACTCTCTGTCCGTCAGGTCGAGCGTAAGTTTGGCTCATCTGCTGGCGGCGCGGAGAGACATCTGCAATATGGTGAAGACCAGCAGCGGATCCAGCCGCCAGAACACCAGCTGCGCCGTCAACAGGGTGCGTACCACATACACACACACACTACAGAATACACAACACACGTCACTCGTATTGTTTTGAATGGGGGAAAGTGTAACGGGCAATATGGTGAATAAAGCCCCACCTACTAGTACAGGAGCCAATCAGTGATCACTATAGACTGAGATGTTAATTAATTGCCTCCAGATCCTGTCATCTTCAAACACCGCGTGTTCATTACGCGTCTGCATTGTCTTCTGAAGCTCAAGTCATTTAGTAAATAAAGATCCTACCACAGCAAACACAGTGTTTACTGTTGATATTTGGCGCCAGATAAACAGGAAGTGATGATTTTGTTCTTGTTGATAGAAACGCTGCTTTATTCGCACGTCTCATATATTTTATTGATGTGCACTCATTTTATTCGCATTATTGGATGGAGACATAGCTGCTGTCTCTGCTGTTGGTGTTCAGATCTTGATGGGTCGAGTTCCTGACCGCGGCGGGCGTCCGTCCGAGATCCAGGCTCCTGCACCGGAGATGCCCACCTGGAGGAAGAGATCTGATGGAGGAGGAGGACAAGGGGCGGGATATAGAGGAGGAGGAGGGGGATGGCAGACTGGTGGAGGAGATGGCTGGAGGACAGGAAGATGGAGTCGAGGAGGAGGACGAGGAGGTGGACACTACTATCACTGACTGATGAACAGCAGAGACACTGGAGGACACTCTTTTTAAACGAGCGTGTGATTGATTCCTTTAGCTATTGAACTTGTACATGATTAGACTAGATCATGGAGACGATGAAGAATAAAGACAGGAAACACCACTAGTGAATACATATTTGAGCTGAGTTCACACAAATCACGACAAATGCATGAAATCAGAGGCAATAGCTGATTCAAGCGAGCGACAGTAGCATGGTGTGAATTGTTAAAGAGAGAATGGCCTGTGAGATATTTGGCTCGCTGAATATGTGGAGCTGTGGGAGATTCACAGTCCTGCTGTGTGAAAACAGGGTAAATGCAGGAATCAGTGAAATTCAATACCTGTTAAGACCTTTTAAGACACTTTCCATTTATTTTAAGACCTCATCGCCACTTTAGGTTTCAACCAGTAATATTAGGGACAACTTACAGTAAAGTAGGTGGCGCCTAAAGAAAAGCAGGAATAACAGTGTTGTCTTCCTAGTTATTACCAGGGGCGTCGCTAGACCTAATTAAATGGCGCACGAGCCAAAAAATAGAAAAAAATAATCATAAATAAAAAGAAAATTATATATATATATATATATATATATATATATATATATATATATATATATATATATATACATATATATATATATATATAATTAAAAGAAAAAATATATAAATAAATAAAAAAAAAATATATATATAAATAATATATATATATATATTAATATAAATAAAATATTTATATATGTAAATAAAATAAAAATTATATATATATATATATATATATATATATATATATATATATATATATATATATATGTGTATATAATAAAAAGAATATATATATATATATATATATATATATATATGTATATATATAATTAAGAAATAATATATAAATAAAAAAAATATATATCAATAAAAAATATATTTATATAAATAAAAGAAAAAAAATATGTAAATAAAAAAATATATAAATAAAAGAAAAAATTTATTAATAAAATATATATATAAATAATATATATATATATGTAAATAAAATAAAAATTATATTTATATATATATATAATTAAAACAAAAAATATATAAATAAAAAAAATATATATATATATATATATATATATATGAATAAAAATATATTTATATAAATACAAGAAAAAAATATGTAAATAAAAAAAATATATAAATATATACACACACACACATATATATATATATATATATACACACACACACACACACACACACACATATACATGCTTTTTTTAAGGGGGCGTGCCCCAATAGAGCTTTATGTCTAGCAACGCCCCTGGTTATTACAGTAAATAAAGTAAAAGGATGTCAAATCCAGCAGGATTTTAGCCTAAATTTGTCTACAAAAGATATATTCTGTACTTTTCCTACTTTTTTTGAGGTTTTTTTTTTCTTCACTCTCCTATTGGTGAAGTTTTTTTTCCCTCTCTGCTGTCGCCTCTGGCTTGCATGATTCAGGATCTGAAAAGCTAATCATCGATGAATTTGCTCTTCAGTGTTTGGACTCTCAATAAAGACTTCAAACCACACTGAACTGAGCTAAACTGAACTTAAACACTAAACCTGAACTACCCTGATCCAGTTACTATGACCATTTGTGTGAAGCTGCTTTGACACAATCTACATTGTAAAAGCGCTATACAAATAAAGCTGAATTGAATTTTCCGGGACCGATCATGTTCTCAATCTTATCGTTAAGGTTTTTTAATTACATTGCACATTTTTACACAAAAATGAGTTCCTAGAGACAATACCTAGACTTAATATTCTCATTAATTGTTGAATCTCTTAAATTTATTAAGAATAATAGAACAAAACAAGCTTATCATAGTCTTTTTCTTAGTGATTGAGGCTTTGTAAAGATATTTTTCAAAAGAAAATTGACAGAACTGGACTGATATGATCCCGGTGCTGCGTTTAGGACCAGCTGGAGTTCATTTATTAGTGTTTATTTACTGCAGGGTTGAACTGATTGTTCAGTTAGCAAAACCAACAGCAGCACATTCACTTATTTACTCAGGTGCATTCAATATAATATCCAATAATCCAAACAAACCAAGTGTATAATTATGATTTATTAATTAGGAACACTGTCAATTATACACGCCGTGTCAGATTTCCTCACATGGTAGATTGTAATAAACACACATACACTGAAAATTCTGAATACACAACAAAATACTGATCTGACCAAAACTGAATTTCTTTGTGCGATTTACAATACAAAGGCAGTTAAAATAATAAAGAAGACGAGTGCTAGCGTGGTCATATATCCGCTGAGCTGAGCTGAAGTTTGACCAGCAGGCTGAGATGATCAGAGGGGAAGCTTTCATCGGGTAAACCTCGCAGAGACCAGAGATGAGCTTCAGACAGCAGAGACAGACGAGCCAGCAGTTTCAGACCACCAGCGCTCTCTGAAAAACACAAGCACACTCGTCAGACAATAAATACAGAACTATGTGCAACATACTTTAAAAATACAACCAATAAATACAGCAGAGTCACAGAACACACTGGACACACACTCTTAATGTAATGTTAGCTGCAAAATGCTAATCTTAAATTCATGCTAACAAACAAATGGCCAAAAAATATACAATAATGCAAATTAAATACATTAAATATGAATTGATGTACATTTTAAACTTCAAAGCTCAATTTAAATTATTATTTTTTAGTTTTGTTAGATTTTTCTAGTCACCCACCATCATTCTGTGGCCCAAAAGTATCAGTTCAGGCACCGGTACCGGTACCAAGTATCGATTTAGAACCACTATCCAGGATACCCAACCCTACATGTGCTATAGGTGACTTAGATGAACTAAAATGGCCATATGGTATGAGTGTGTGTGGGTGTTTCCCAGTACTGGGTTGCAGCTGGAAGGGCATCAGCTGCGTGAAACTATGCAGGAATAGTTGGCGGTTCAAACCTCTGATAAATAATGGACTAAAGCTGAATGAATGATGTTACCTCCGCCTCCGTTGAAGCCGCTCTTCTGCCGTTGGGAGTAGAAGATGTAGTCGACCATGGCAGCTCCTTCAGAGTTCAGTGTCGTGACCAGGTCAGTCAGAGTTTCGGGATGAATATGACTGTAAGCAGACGTCAGACTCAACCTGTGACGTAAAGAAGGACTGAACCTGCCAAAATACAGTCAGAGTTTAGCATTTGAGTTGCCCCAATACAATTATTTACAATAAATGTGCAGAAGAGTAGAAAATTATAAAGACTTTAACCTGTAATACCTTTAACCTTTATGTACAGCTGATTTCAGCATGAACCCAAATATTAAAATACAATTAAGATATTAATTATATAAAAGTATTTTTGGTTTACTTTTTGTCTTTACGTTTATGCTAAAGATGGAGATGATGAGTTTTGTTTTCACCAGTTTACCACTAAATATCTCCACTCACTTGCACAAAAGTTTGCATTATGTTAACATTAAGCTGGATTTTTCAGCAGGGTTGACGTCAAACTAAGAAAGACAAAACCAGAACATGAACATAAAAAGTGTTGATGCCCAAAGTTTTTGCTTTCCCATTACAAAAAGCATTTGCTCACAAAATATTTGTAATTTAGTGTTTGCCAGAGGATCTTTCAGAGTAACTCAGCTCATTATAGCACACGTGCTGCTGCTGCTGCTGATGATGATGATGATGTGATTATAAAAGTGATTTGATTTCAACTTTGCATTGATTTGCAAAACATTTGTGCTACCTGGATGAACTTCACATTTGCAGAAAAAGAATAACTTTGAGGGAAAATAAATAAATAAATGAAACTCACCTTAGACTAAACATGTCTCTTAGGTCTGAAAAAAATAGAGCATAAAAATCAGAGCATATTCCAGGACGTGTCTTCAACAATGACCCTAATAAGTGTGAAGATCGAAATAACAACTTCCTTAATAGCTCTTTAAGATCTAGAGTAATCGCTAGTTAAATGTAATAATCTGTGACTTTTGCTCAAACGTGACTTTTTATCGTCTTATTTGTCAGAAAGCGTGCAGTTCTGTGTTAATGCTTGAATGTTTAGTAGCATGTCGAGCAGGTCCATCGCAAGCTGCAGGGCCTAAATGAAGACTGGGACACAGTGGGGGTGATATCTGGGTGACTGTTGTCAGTGAAGAAAGTGTGTGTGTGTGTGTGTGTGTGTGTGTGTGTGTGTGTGTGTGTGTGTGTGTGTGTGTGTGTGTGTGTGTTTGTTGGGGGGGGGACACATTGTCCATGCCTAAATCTGCCAATCAAATCTGTTTATGATCACTTTTAATTCATATCACACATTAAAGTGAATTTTATATGCAGTCATAGTGTACACAACAATCTCTGGGCTTGCTGCATCACAAATACCAACATTTTTACAATTTATGAAAAAAGTAATGACTTTCTGGCCGTGTGATATTAGGCATGAACATATATATTGCCATTTGTGACTTTCGAAAGTATTAAATCGCTTTGTAAACGTTTATTATTACCTTTTCAAGAGTCTCCCCATACATTTGAATAGAGCGATTGGACCCGGAAGCCGCTCTGCGTGACGTCACACTTAACAAGCGGATCTAATCCGTGCCCGGGTGCATTTCCTAGTTCGTTTGACAAGTCTGACTGCTCTGAATTGGGCCCAGGCGTGGTTCAGTTGGAAGAGGTGTGCTAGAGAGTGTTTGGTTGGGGTTAGTGTGAGTGTAAAGCATGCCTGAGTATGAAACTGAAGATACGACGTCACTTTTAAGGGAGTGTTTCATGTGGATTTATTAATCACTCTTACTGTTCAATGACAGTGATGTCAGAGTTTATTAAAGACGCAAACCCCTCACTGCACATTCAGCAAGCCTCCTAAAACCTGCAGGACTTCATGATTGTTTATGAGCGTCAAAAGTGATGGATCTGTTCTGCAAAATATTTGACCGTGTCACTGCATCCCAAACCACTAAAAATAATACACAACGATGTAACTAAAGCAACGTCCGCTGTGCTGAGCGAAGCGCTTCTCTTCTGTTTAACTGAACAGCGTATCATCGATGACGTAGGTGTGCGCCGGCTCTGAAGGTAATAATGCAGTGTGAGTGCAGGCTGAGGGGGAGAGGGGAAGAGGGACAAGCACGCTTCGCTGGTGAGAGTACGCCCTAAGTCTAAACTAGGCGTTAGCCATTAGCTGGTGCAGAGTTGAAGCGGGTGAATCTGTTACCGGGTGTTTTGTCTGTGACTCCGGGTATGAGCTCTAGATCTGCAGGCCGAACACACGCCGCCTCACAGAAGCGCAGCTGACACATGAACTCATGACTGTACTGCTGTTTACCATCTGAAAACACACACACACACACGCACACACACACACACACACACACACACACACAAAGAAAATCAAAGACCATTTTTGACTGATTACTTAGTAATTACACTCACCGGCCACTTTATTAGGTACACCTATCAAAGTGAGCATCAGAATGGAGAAGAAAGGAGATTTAAGTGACTTTGAACGTGGCATGGTTGTTGCTGCCAGACGGGCTGCTCTGAGTATTTCAGAAACTGCTGATCTACTGGGATTTTCAAGCACAACCATCTTCAGAGAGGGGTCTGACGAAGAGGAAATATCCAGTGAGCGGCAGTTCTGTGGGCGCAAATGCCTTGTTGATGAGGCCAGAGGTCAGAGGAGAATGGCCAGACTGGTTCCAGCTGATAGAAAGGCAACAGTAACTCAAATAAGCACTCGTTACAACCGAGCTCTGCAGAAGAGCATCTCTGAACACACAACACGTCCAACCTTGAGGTGGATGGGCTACAGCAGCAGAAGAGCACACCGGGTGCCGCTCCTGTCAGCTAAGAACAGGAAACTGAGGCTACAATTCACACAGACTCACCAAAACTGGACAATAGAAGATTGGAGAAACGTTGCTGCTCTGATGAGTCTCCATTTCTGCTGACACATTCAGATGCTCGGCTCACAATTTGGCCTCAACTACATGAAAGCATGGATCATCCTGCCTTGTATCAGCGGTTCAGGCTGGTGGTGGTGGTGTAATGGTGTGGGGGAGATTTTCTTTGGGTCCATTAGTACCAATTGAGCATCAACGCCACAGCCTACCTGAGTATTGCTGCTGACCATGTCCATCCCTTTATGAGCACAGTGTCTCCATCTTCTGATGGCTACTTCCAGCAGGATAACGCAGCATGTCATAAAGCTCAATCATCTCAGACTGCTGAACATGACGATGAGTTCACTGTACTCAAATGGCCTCCACAGTCACCAGAGCTCAATCCAATAGAGCAGCTTTGGGATGTATTGGAACGGGAGGTTGGCATCATGCAGCCGACAAATCTGCAGCAACTGTGTGATGCTATCATGACAATATGGAGCAAAATCTCTGAGGAATATTTCCAGTAGCTTGTTGAATCTAGGCCATGAAGGGTTAAGGCAGTTCTGAAGGCAAAAAGAATCTAACCCGATACTAGTCAGGTGTACCTAATAAAGTGGCCGGTGAGTGTATATCTGGTACTAACCTGAAGCTGTGGTGTGTGTGTCAGTGTTGTACTGGCAGCGGTCAGTGATGCCGAGGCTGCTGGGCCACAATGGGGAGAAAAGCCTGTTGTGATGAGCTTTATATGACAAATCCGTCTGCCCTGAAACCTGCACAAACCACCAATGCATCCGCAGTGTTTTCTACAAAATTATTCAATTAAAAAAGTCCTGTGCCATTTTTATTATTCTTCAAAAAAGATGTTGATTTATTTTCTCTTCTCCATGATGACAGTAATAATATTAGACTAGATGTTCTTCAAGACACTAGTGTTCAGCTTACAGTGACATGTAAAGGCTTCACTTGGGTAATTAGGGTAAAGTTAGGGTAATTAGGCAAGTGTTTGGATAACAGTGGTTTGTTCTGGAGACAATCCAACACTAATATTGCTGAAGGGGTGAATAATATTGAGCTTAAAATTGCTTTAAAACTATTAAAAACTGCTTTTATTCTAGCCCAAATAAAACATCAGACTTTCTCCAGAAGAACAAATATTAGAGGAAACACTGTGATTTTGTTCAACATCATTTGGGAAATATTTGAAATAAATAAATAAATAAAATTCACAGGAGTGTGAATAACTCTGACTTTAACTGTGTATTGTAAATATTGTCAGTAATCGGGGTTTCTCACCATCCATGTCGGTAGGCCGTGGTAGTAGAGCTCCCCGGTGGTGATCAGCGTCCACAGAGGACTCCTGGGTACAGCATTGAAGTCTCCGCACAGAATCAGCTCGCAGCTTTTCCCTTCACTCCTGCATTTCTGCATCACGCTGTGGATCTCGGCGAACATGATGGCGAGCTGGGCCAGCTTCACGTCTCCTCTCCTGGGGTTGAACAGGAGGTGTGTGTTAGCAACACACACCGGTGTAAACTGATGATGGGGTCCCGCCGTGGGCTGGAGGAGCAGCACGATGCCTACATTATCCCGATCCAGCAGCTCACACTCCGAGCGGCGAAACTCCAGCAGACTGACGGAGAGCTGAGTGAAGCGTTCACCGCGGTATAACACAGCACAACCGTCTGTTTTTGAGCCTGTGCGACGCTTATAGATGCATGTATAACCTGGAGGAAAAACATGTGGTAAAGACAACGAAAACAATAAAGACGCATTTTATTCTTTATTTAGGTTTATTTTTATTACATTATAAAATATTGCTTTTTACATATAAAGCTTTAAATAGTCGAGCTCCTGTTAATCTAACCAACCTGCCTACAATCCAACTCGCTATTTAGGATCTCAAAACTCAGGGATTCTGCAAGTACCTAGAACAGCAAAGTCCACTAAAGGAGGTCGAGCCTTCTCATTTATGGCTCCTAAACTCTGGAATAGCCTTCCTGATATTGTCTGAGCCTCAGACACACTCTCTCATCTCAAAACTAGATTAAAGACTATTTTCTTTGACAATTTATTAAGGAAAACTTCACTTGACTATGACTCATTTCTGAAAATAAAACAATGGTTATTTTCTTGTCTAGAAAATGCATATTGTTTTCTGAATTTTTAGATATTTGGACCAGAAACAAGACAAAAACTGTAAAAAACAAAACAAAAACAAAAAACAGTAAATGTTGACTCTATGACGACTTTAATATCTTTCATTGAGAGGTAAGATGTAAACATAACGGTCTTGCACAGCCATCGAGTGCTTGTTTACATAAAAAAATAATGGAAAATTATACTGTAAAAATGCTTTGCTTAAAGCTTTAGTCTTGTTTCTAGTCCAAATATCCAAATCTTCTTACATCAAGGAGCGTTTTCAAGACAAGTAAAACAAAATAGTCTTATTTAAGTTGAGTTTTGCATTGATGATTAAATTATTGCTTCTTACATATAAAGCTTTAAATAGTCGAGCTCCTGTTAATCTAACCAACCTGCCTACAATCCAGCTCGCTCTTTAGGATCTCAAAACTCAGGGATTCTGGAAGCACCTAGAACAGCAAAGTCCACTAAAGGAGGTCGAGCCTTCTCATTTATGGCTCCTAAACTCTGGAATAGCCTTCCTGATATTGTCTGAGCCTCAGACACACTTTCAACTGAACACTTGATTAAAGACTATTTTCTTTGACAATTTATTAAGGAAAACTTCACTTGACTATAACTCATTTCTGAAAACCTGGCAATAGTTCTTTACTTGTCTAGAAAATGCATATTGAATTCTGAATTTTTAGATATTTGGACCAGAAACAAAAAAAAAAAAAAAACAGTAAATGTTGACTCCATGACGACTTTATAAAGACTTTGTCTTTCATTGAGAGGTAAGATGTAATCATAACAGTCTTGCACAGCCATCGAGTGCTTGTTTACATTAAAAAAAAACAAAGGAAAATTACACTGCAAAAATGCTTTGCTTTAAGCTTTAGTCTTGTTTCTAGTCCAAATATCCAAAACTTTTTAAATCAAAGAGTGTTTTCAAGACAAGTAAAAAATGTTTTTGTTTTGAAAAATATTACTTGAAAATAAAGAGAGTTTTTCTTTTAAACAAGCTAAATAATTTGCAGATGGGGTAAACAAAATAGTCTTATTGAAGTTCAGTTTCACACCGATGATTAAATTATTGCTTCTTACCTATAAAGCTTTAAATAATCGACCTCCTGTTAATCTAACCAACCTTCTGTCTCGCTACAATCCAACTCGCTCTTCAGGATCTCAAAACTCAGGGCTTCTGGAAGCACCTAGAACAGCAAAGTCCACTAAAGGAGGTCGAGCCTTCTCATTTATGGCTCCTAAACTCTGGAATAGCCTTCCTGATAATGTCCGGGCTCAGACACACTCTCTCAGTCCAACACTAGATTAAAGACTATTTTTAGTAAAGCCTTGATCATTGATCAGCGCAATCACATATTCTGAAAAATTGCTTTGTTTTGAGAAATAATGTGTAAAAATTAAGTGGGTTTTTAATTTAAAACAAGCTAAATAATCTGCCAACGGGGTAATCAAAATAATCTTATTTCAAAGTGAAAACATCATTATTCTGCTTATTCTTTCACCTAACTAGAAGATCATTTAGGTTGTTTAAAGGAAAAATTCACTTAATTTTGACCTATTCCTGAAAACAAGACCATATTTATATTTGTCTAGAAAACGCTCCTTGATGTAAGAATATTTTGAACTATAAATAAAAGACAAATTCTAAGTAAGAACTACATTTTTTGCAGAGTAACCAGAATCTTTTCCACAGAGAAAACACATGAGTAACTGTGTATGCAACAGTTGTGCCCCACAGTCACGACTGAAGCCCTTCCCACTATTGAAATGTCTCATGTTTTGTATTGTCATGATCAGAAAAAGTTATTTAATTTGGCGTCTCACCCATGTTGATCAGGACGGGATGCATCTGCTCCTGAAAGTGATCCTCCTGCACTTCCTGAAGACAAACAATCTGTGCATAACAGAAATATAAACATTAAATAGACACACTAACTGTTGGGTTTAAGAAAGCAAAACTCAAATTATCTTCTAAATAAGGAGAAAGATTTCTAAAACAGTTGATCAACCTTTTTACTCACTGCACAGTTTGACCAGAGGACTGTAGGGGTTTTATACAGATTCATTCGTTTAGCTGCACATCTGACAACGGGATGCATGAATGGATGAATGAATGAATGATGTTGTACTACATCTGGTTGCCAGATCTGGAGCTACATGAATGAATGAATGAATGATGTTTTACATCCGGTTGCCAGATGTGCAGCTATATAAATAAATAAATGAATGGTTGGTTATCTTACATTCGATTGCCAGAAGTGCGGATATATGAATGAATGAATAATATTGTCTTCCATCAGATTGCCAGATCTGGAGCTATATGAATGAATGAATGGTTGTCTTACATCAGGTTGCCAGATGTGCAGCTATATGAATGAATGAATGAATGGTTGTCCTACAGCTGGTTTCCAGGTGTGCAGAAATATGAATGAATGAATGAATGAATGATGTTGTTTTACACCCGGTTGCCAGATGTGCAGCTATATAAATAAATAAATGAATGAATGATTAGTTGGTTGGTTGTCTTGCATCCGATTGTCAGATGTGCAGATATATGAATAAATGAATGAATTGTATTATCTTCCATCAGGTTGTCAGATCTGGAGTTATATGAATGAATGAATGGTTTTCTTACATTTGGTTGCCAGATGTGAAGATTTATGAATGAATGAATGAATGATTGGTTGTCTTGCATACCGTTGCCAGATGTGCAGCTATATAATTAAATGAATGAATGGTTGTCCTACATCAAGTTTCCAGATGTGCAGATATATGAATGAATGAATGGTTGGTTGTCTTACATCCGGTTGCCAGATGTGCAGATACAGGAATGAATGAATTCTAGTGTTTTACATCGGGTTGCCAGATCTGAAGCTATATGAATGAATAAATGAATGAATGAATAAATGATTGGTTGGTTATCTTACACCCGGTTGCCAGATGTGCAGATGCATGAATAAATGAATAATATTGTCTTACATCAAGATACCAGATCTGGAGCTGTATGAATGAATGAATAATTGAATGAATGAATGAATGGTTGGTTATCTTACATCCGGTTGCCAGATGTGCAGATATATGAATGAAAGAATAATATTGTCTTACATCAGGTTGCCAGATCTGGAGCTATATGAATGAATGAATGAATGAATGAATGAATGAATGGTTGGTTATCTTTCATCTGGTTGCCAGATGTGCAGCTATAGGACTAAATGAATGAATGGTTGTCCTACATCTGGTTGCCAGATCTGGTACTTTATAAATGATTGAATGAATGAAGGAATGAATGAATGAATGAACGAATTATATTGTTTTACATCGGGCTGCCAGATCTGGAGCTATATGAATTAATAAATGAATGATGTCATCTTACATCCGGTTGCCAGATGTGCAGCTATATAAATGAATAAATGAATGAATGAATGAATGGTTGTTTTACATCTGGTTGCCAGATCTGCAGCTCCTTCAGGACAGCCTGGAGCCGGTTTTCCCACCTCAGCGCGTCCTCCGCACAGTGTGTGTACAGATGTGGATTGGCTTCCAGCAGATCCTGAGCCAGGATATTATAAGACATGACGCTGAAGTCGAACACAGGAGACGCGTCTGCACTGTCACTGCTCTGCGGTTCACTGAGGTCCTCCCACACTCGCCACATCACTTGGAGAGAACAGAGGAAAGTCTGACTACAATACACAGTAACATGAGCAATGTTATTCACCCTCGCGTTAATATTTCCCAAATGATGTTGAACAAAATCACAGTGTTTCCTCTAATATTTGTTCTTCTAAAGTCTGATTTGTTTGATTTGGGCTAGAATAAAAGCAGATTTTAATAGTTTTAAAGCCATTTTAAGCTCAATATTATTGGCCCCTTCAGCAATATTAGTGTTGGATTGTCTCCAGAACAAACCACTGTTATACAATGACTTGCCTAATTACCCTAACTTTACCCTGATTACCCTAGTGAAGCCTTTACATGTCACTTTAAGCTGAACACTAGTGTCTTGAAGAATATCTAGTCTAATAATATGATTAAACTATTATCATTAGAAATGTGTTCTCTCTGTTAAACTGAAATTGAGAAACAAACATATACAGGAGGGTGAATAATTCTGCCTTCAACTGTAGATGCACTCTGTAAATGCACATTTCAGTACATTACAGCATCCTGCGGCTCTACTTTACGCCTGTATTACATTGCAGGATCAATCTGACCTTCTATATTGTCCTGGTCTTGAAATGCAGGATAGTAGCTGACGTCGGGAAACTGCACGTAAGGACAGTAGCACATCTCCGCCAGGCCGTGTCCGACAGGAAAGTGCCACCCGATGGGCTCAGCATCCATCTGGAGCTGCTGTGTGTCCGACAGTAAAGCTGACAGGTCAAACACTGGGCTGCGGGACGCGAGGAGAAGAGCTGCACCTCCAGAGCTGGCAGACACACCATCACACCGGTCTGCTTCTGCAGCGGACACAAACAGGCAGTCATTAAGATTAAAGTTCACCTGTATTGACCTCATTTTCCAGTACGAGCGGGGGGAGCTCAGGAATTCAATCATATATTTATAATTCCTGCTCAGCTTTTAGATTATAGCATATAGCTGTCAGCTAGCTCTCTGCAACTCTCATATGGTCGCTCACTGAAGCTAAGCAGGGCTGCGCCTGGTCAGTATCTGGATGGGAGACCACATAGGAAAGCTAGATTGGTGCTGAAAGTGGTGTTAGAGAGACCAGCAGGGGGCACTCAACCTGTGGACTGTGTGGCTTCCTAACGCCCCAGTATATTGATGAGGACTCAGGGGTTGCTATTCTGAGGAACTAAAACAGACCCCACCATTGACCAACTAAAAGCTGCTCTAAAGGCCAGCAGAGTGTGTTAGTTATACACCTATACAGGTCCAAATGCTGAACACACACAGGATGATCAGCAACACACACACATATGTTTACAGATGAAAGGATTAAAATGATCCAGACATGATGATTTTCTCCATCAGTATAAACAGCACTGCCTCCATGTCTTCTTCACCTCGGGGGGCTTCTTCAGTTCATTGATGAGCATCTGCATCTGTATAATGTGATTATTATTAGCAGGATTATTGATTATCTGCAGATTTATAATCAACACAAGTGTAGATGTGTCCAGCTGTGGGGTTTTGGAGACGTCTGCATCAGCATATGTGGATAAGAACAAGACGTGTGTTTGGATATAACTCAGTTTTCTGACCACACTTCATTATTATTGTTCATTTACTCCTCTGCTGGAGATTAGAGCTGAATTTAGAAATAGTTTTGAAGCAAATCTTTGTGTTTAACAAAGGAGATGAAACATGTGGGCTGATGGATGTGTTCAGTGGAGTGAGTTTCCACTGTTTCCCCACTCCACCAAAGTAAAGGAGTAAAAGGGAAAGTAAAGAGGCTGAATGGAGGAGGCTCGTTCTTTATTCTTGTGCTGCAGATGCTCTGTTTAACTGTGTTCTTGCTAGTGAAGTGTTCAGCTTTTACTCTTACAGAGTCGTCATGTAAATAGCAAATGCACCATGGAGCGACACAACTCACTCTTAAAAGGAATGCGAGTAGGCATGGCCCGATATAAGATTCTGACAATATGATAACCTTGGATAAACGGTTAAACGATTTCACTGTAATGTTCTTTCTGCTCTAAAATATATTATTTTTAATTGTCTGAGTAAAACTCTTTTTTTCCCTCTTTGAACACAAAATATTTTATTTTGAGAATCATTTTTAATTATTTAGAGCAGTAAACATGTCGGTCTAAATAATTAAAATCAATTATTGACTTCTGCTGTCTGCATTTGTTTCAAAAACACTGATGTGCTTACAATTTAAAACGGCATCTTCGGCAGGGTTCAACACCAAGGATTTTTTCTACTGGTCCGATCGGGCCAATGGTTCAGATTTTTACTTGCCCTGCCAAAATTTTCACTGTTCCCACCAAAGAAAAAAATCTAATTTAATAGCTATTTTTTTAGCCACATATTTTAAATAATGTGTCAAAAATAATGTCTATAATTATTTCATTATTTAAATAATATTTTTCAAATGTTAATATATGTATAATGAGCAAAATTATGGGCCCTATCATACACCCAGCGCAGTGTGGCGCAAGGCGCGGCGCAATAGTCTTTTGCTAGTTTCAGCTTGGCGCAAGAGTGGTTTTGAGGCGTTGCGCTACGCTGTTTAAATAGCAAATGCATTAGCGCTCATTTGTGCGTCCATAGGCGTTCTGCTCTAAAAAGGAAGGTGTTCTGAGGCGGACCGCTGGCGCGTCGCTATTTTGAGAAACTATAATAGATTTTTTATTAGACCAGTACGCACAAGAGAGCAATAGGCAAATATCTTTACATATGAAAAAATGTAAATATTAAGGATATATATAGGATATAATATGAATAGATATAGAATATAAATATAAAGGATTAAAATATTACAAAACATATTATTTTCTAGCCGACATAAATATGAAAAATCACTGCTTTTATGTCTTCTTCATCTCGGGAGGCTTTTTCAGTTCATTCATAACAATTTGCTTTTGTATAATGTTATTATTATTAGCAGTATTATTTATTATATCCATATTTATATTTGTTTTATTAAAAACAAGCTTAGATTTGCCCACCTGTCAGGTTTTAGACCATATGGGGCACAGCATGTGTTTTAGGATATAACTCAGGTTTTTGAGCACATTTTGTTATTATTGTTCATTTATTCGTTTGCTGGAAATTAGAACTGAATTTAGAAATAGTTTTGAAACGAATCTTTGCGCTTAACAAACAAAATAATTTATTTATAGACTAATTGATGTCTGTGCGTAAAGGTTTCCCTATCCAAGAGCGAAAGTGAAAGTAGATCCATTATCTCTCATTCTCATGCAGTAGATGCTCTGTTTAACTGTTTTCTGTTAACTGTGAACTGTTTGCTTGTGAAATGCTCAGTTTTTCCACTTAGTCTTACTTTGCGTCCTGTAAATAGTGAATGCGCTCTTGGCGTGACGCAGCTGGCTCTTAAAGGGAATGGGAGATGAGACTCTGATTGGTTTATTCTCAAAACACACCTATAACTCATTAAGAAAATAAACTCAACCCTTTTAGCCCATGCACCACGATGCAAAGCGGATTTCCTGTCCTTAAATTAGCAAAAACGCGTCCTGACACGCCCTGAAAGCGTTTGCGCTCTGCGTTTTGCGCTCTGCGCATGGACCATCAAAATAGAGCCCTTAGTGTTAACAAAACAAAAGAGCAGTATGGAAAATGTGAAGGTATTTTACTTTAGTTCGGAATTATTTAACAAAAGGTGGCCCCAATCGGGCCAGTAATGATCCTGTCTACTGTCCCAAGCGTCTCTCACACTGGCCCTGGGCCATCGGGCAGTCCTTATTGTTGAGCCCTGTTTAGATATCTTTTCTGCTGGAAATAATGTTGTCCTAAAAAATAAATAAATAAACAAAAATAAATAAAATATTAAATAAATGTTGAAAATCTAACACAGACCTTGGAAAAGGTATAGCAGAAAGTTTTGGTGGTTTTAAAACCTTGACTTTTCCAAACCGCGGTAAACCTTGAAAACGGTTCTCATGCCTAAATGTGAGACGCGACTCTGATTGGTTAAATGCAGGTTATGCTCAAAACACACCCAGAACTCATTAAGAGAGCCAGCACAGCCCTGTTAGACCATGCCAAATAGCAAAAGTGCATTCAGACACCCCTTAATGCTTTTGCGCCGTGCGCTTTAGACTTTGCGCCTAGATCGTTAAAATACAGCTCAATCTTTTCTATGTACGACTGCAATACATTAAGCAGGAATTTAATCCCATAACTCATACTTATCTCATCAAATCTTCAAACCAATCAGATGCTCTCTAGTGTCTGACATGCCCCGCCTCCTCCTTCTCATTGGCTGTTCATTTGACGTGCTTGAGCTCGACCACTCTCACTGGCAGAGCTGTGAGAAAACAACACTATTGGCTGTTTGTTTTTTTTAAAGGGGAGGAGCTACTCTACGCCCCACCCTCTTTTCATGTTTTCGTTGAGATCACATCAAACATCCAATAAAAAAGCACTTATTTGGAGACCTTTAACCCTTTCCTGCATCTTAAATGATGACAATATTAACCATATTCATGCATGACAGTGAATAATACATCAACAGCCCATATTCCGCACCTGAGGGAGCGTCTGCAGTCAGATGTGGAGAGATCTCGCTGTGTTTTCCAGCTACTGAGCTGAACACATAGTCAGATTCAGCCTGGTTCTTCACAGGTTGTGGATTGTGTGTGTCCTCCAGACCGGCGAGCGGTGTTTCTGACAGCACTCCCTCCATCTGACTGACATCACACAGAGTTTTCTGCAGCTCTTCTTCTGCTCGTGCTCTCTCTAGAGTCTCCACCAGTGTTCCC